TATTGCAAAGAGCTCGGGGAATAACAGGAGAGGGATCGTTTTAATTAGTGAATCAGGGTCAAACCAGCAGAGCCTTTTTCTCACATTTCCAAAACTTTTCATGGTTTTTAAAATATTCCATTGGGGGAAAAACAATGACTTTAAAGAGTTGGGTTGCTTATAAAGACTGCAGCTCGAGAGATGGTCTCTGTCAATGGGGAAGGAGTTTAAAACTAGTTGAGTGTTGTGTCTTGAGAATTTCTACTTCGTGAGGGGTGGGGGGATAAAGATCTTCCTTTATTAATTAATTTTTTCTCTGATATTCTTCCTGGTGCCTTATAATCTCTTCTCTAAAAGTAAAATCCTTTGTGATTTCAAACATTTTCCAGTGGAAACTTGTCTAGATCTGGAAATTCAACCCTCTCCATTAGAATGTGTTGTACTTCTATTTAAATACAATTAGCATGACAAAATAAAGCCCTACAGAGGCCAAACGTTGTATGTTGTTAGCTGTGGTAATTCTTCCACATAAAATCTTAAGGTCTAAATAAGGTATATGCCAAAGATACGTGAACAAATTACACTGGTGCAAGTGGCGGGGCTCTCCTACTAACAAGATAAAGTGGTCAGGCAACTTTCCCCTCTTAAAATGTTACTGGAAACTAGTGAAATGCTTTGAACGGTCTGGATGTTTTCAATGGGCTCTGTTCTACTGGTTCATGAATGCCTCCCCCCCCCCCCCCTCAAGATAATACAACTACTTGGGTTTTTAAATCTTCTTTCCTATTCACGATTAAAAATGTGATAAATCAGGTTTTTGGCTCTGAATAACAATGGCTTGATTTAGATTTCCTAGTAAATCTATTCAAAAGTGAAACAAAGGCTGCCTTTGGAGGATACCTTACACTTCACCTGGACCAGGCACGTAAGGGCAATTCAGATAAAAATCTTGTTAGGAACTCAACAAGAAATAGAGGATTTTCTCTTTTCCCTGGTTCAGGCTTTATTTAAACTCTTTGTTCAAAAAAATGAACAGAGTGATAGTCGGATTCTAATTTACAGATATAGTTTAGATGTCTAATATTAAATTAGAAGATCACACAAGAAAACCATTTACACATAAAGGTTAAAACCAATACTTAAACTTTTAAAAACTGTATATTACATAAAGCCAAAATGAAACTAAATACATGTTAGCCAACTTCATTCACAAACATTAGTCAAAATATATACATTTAAAAAGAAACACAAAAGCTATAATTGAGGAAGGTTCTTTTCTCTAAAATGTGTTTTATCATAAATTGCAAATGAATTGCAGATGATCTAAAAAATAAGCTAATTAGGGAGGGAATTCCAAAACACATTTAAACGGTTCAAGTTGGTGGAGAAATGCTGGCTGACAACGAGAGACATCTGTCAAAACAATTCTGCGGGTGTTTTTTTTTTTTTCAGTTTTGCTAAATAATGAATATATAATTGCCACTCAGGCAAAAAAAAGTCCGATTTAATCTTAGTTCAAATTGTAATTTTTAAAAAGTTAACTTTGATATTTGCTCAAAATGCTTTAGAGTCTAAAATCGACTCAAATTTAGGGCAACGCAAATAACACATTCTCAGACTTAATGTTTGCACGAACATGTACACATTTACAATCTCGGCCATAGGGGAAAATAGAAACAGGGCCTTTACATTGTCTATAAATTGTGTCAGCAATCCAAGTGAGTGGACTCAGGGTGATTCCCACCTGTTTTGTTTTTATTTAAGGGGGAAGATCCAATTGACAACTTTTCAATCGCACACATATTTCTTGTTTGCATTCCTTGCTCTTGAGAAAGACCTCTTGCTCTGATTTGCATATGGCGTGAGAAACAAAAGAAACCGCGATCATCTCACATACAAAAGGCCAGATTCGAGCTGGTCACTGGTCAAGAATGGATCCGGTCTGGGGTTTCTGCTTGAGAGAGCAGAGATTGGCAAAGTTCAAATAGGACAAATAGGGAGCAAGGTTGCTTAGCACCCTCCCGCTCCAAAGAAACTAATGGCATAGATCTGGTTTTCCCTGGTGTCAGCCATTTCAGACCTAACATTTGAACAGTGTGCATGCAACGCAGACCAGGAGGGGGGGAAAAAATGAGAGAAAGATAATGAGAAACAAAAATAAAACCGACAATAAACTTCCAACAAACAAAACTGGAGTGCCCAACATGTCAAAAAGTGACTCCACCTCTATGGGCCAAAACGCAACAGGTTCCGAAGTGCAAAACAAACGCCAACTCCTGCCGGAATACAACTGCCCACTTTAAAGCTGGCTGCCCAAGTGCGGTTCCGAAATGATCCTGTGAATTCACACGCGCACTCGCGCCCCGACTGGCATCTCTGCCTCTGCCTGGCACCTATACATCTTATGTACAAACAACCCGCGGTCCCCCGTGGCGGGAGGGCGCACCGGGTGGCCGCAGAGCTCGCACCTATACATATGTACATGTGTGCACACCGAACCTCGCCAGGTGGCCCCGCGGGGTCATAGCGCGGCGGCGTAGGCCGCGGGGTAAGGGTCCAGCTGAGGCTTGCCCATGCCCGGCAGCAGGATGTAGGCGAGCGGCGGCTGCAGCCCGGGGCTGGGCCAGGCGCTGCAGTTGCACGGGATCATGTAGCCCGGGTTGCCCGGGCTGGGGTGCGAGTGCGTGTGCCCCCCGGCGGCCGCGGCGGCCGCTGCAGCCGCCGCCGCCGCGCCGTGGAAGGCGCCCGCGCCCGTGGTCGGGTAGCCCAGAGACGACGCGTACGGGAGGCCGGACGACGACGAGGAGATCTCTGCCATCTTGGAGCCCAGGTCGAGCAGGGAGTAGGGGCTGCCCGCGGCGGCGGCGGCAGCGGCGGCGGCGGCGGCGGCGGCCGACTGCGGGAAGAAGACGCGAGCGGCGGCGGCGGCGGCGGCGGCGGCCGCCTTCTCCGGGTTGGCGAGCAGCGACTCCGGCACCAGGCCGCCGCCGGCGCCCGCGTGCAGCCCGGCGCCCGCCTTGAGCGCCGGGTGCTCGGCGTCCGCCACGCCGCCCAGGCCGTAGGGCACCGGGAAGGCGAACTTGTCCTTTTTGAGCAGCGTCTTGGGCTTGCGCCGCGGCCGGTACTTGTAGTCGGGGTGCTCCTTCATGTGCATGGCGCGCAGGCGCTTCGCTTCGTCGATGAACGGCCTTTTCTCCGACTCCGTGAGCAGCTTCCACTCGGCCCCCAGGCGCTTGCTGATCTCCGAGTTGTGCATCTTGGGGTTTTCCTGGGCCATTTTGCGCCGCTGAGCCCGCGACCACACCATGAAGGCGTTCATGGGCCGCTTGACGTGGTCCACCGGCTTGGACATGCTCTCGCCGGGCCGCGGCTGCAGCCCGCCGCCGCCCGGGCCGTCTCCCTGGGCCCGGAGGAAATCAATGTTGGCTGCCCGCGGGGACACGCGCGGCCCGGCGGCGCTCCCGCCCGGGAGGAGGGGGCCGGGTGACCAGCCCAGGGCCGCGCGCTCGGGGGAGAACTCTCCGGAGCGCGGTAACTTTCAGGCGGTGCCCCCACCCCACGGTGGCAGTGTGCCCTCTGCTTTCTTTTTGTCCTTCCTCCCCGTCCGGTGGCGCTTTCTCGCGAACTCCCTGCAGGTCTCCTCTGCCCGGCAGAGCTCGGCCCCGGGTCAGTCTTTTCTCTCTTCCACGCACAGCAGCCCGGAAAGTTGCGTCGCGGAGGTTCCACCAAGTTGAGCCGCGCGGCCCGTCGCCGCGTGCTGCCCAGTGCCAAAGGGGGCTCTCGGTGGCTGGAGTGTTTGGGATCGCGGTGACTTTCTCATTTGACAGTAGCAGATGGGGGTGGGGGAGGAGGAGGAGAGGTGGCCCCGGAGGAGGAAGAGGAGGGGGAGACGGAGGAGGGTCCGGGCGCACCACGCGAGAACGGTGCAGCAATGGATGTCAATACAAATACAGCAGCTCCAGCCGGTCTTCCTGGCTCCGGGCGGGGCGCGCTGATGGGGTCCCTCTCTTTCTCCCCCCAGAAGGCTGGGTTTTGTGGAAGGGGGGCACTGTCTGCCACCCCAGCACCTGCCTCGCGGGTCTTCCTCTCCGGCTGCGGGTCGGAGGAGGTAGGATGTGGCTTGATCAAGGTTGGGGTCCCCGGGCCTCAGAGGAAATCCTCCGGACTAGCCGAGGCGCCGCGTCTCACAGTCCCCGGGGCCATGCCGGCTCCGCTCGCTCCCAGCCCCTCCGGGCGCGCCGGCCGACTGGGGATCTCGGAGAGCGCGGAGCGGGGAAGGCGGTGCCGCCTCGGCGCGGCTGGCCCGGCCCGGCCGCGTCCCCACCCGGCTCCTCTGGGTGTCCGCCGGGCCCTGGCAACTAACTTCGCCCAAGTTTCGCGCGCCGGCGCGCCGGCCTCGCAGTGTGCGCCCGCGGGTGCGCCGAGCCGGGGGCCCCTCTTTCCAGGGTTCTCGGGCCAGAACCCGGCAGGCGCGGAGGCGAAGGTGCCGGAGGAGGGGATTGAAGGAAACCGCGCCGTCACCTCAGTTCGGAGATCCGCGCCGGGGCTGTTCCCGCGTCCCCGGCTGCCGCGGCCCCGTGGGCCCCTTCCCGGCGCCGGCCGCCGCTCCGCCGCCGCTCCCGACCCGGCGGGAGCCCTGGGCACCGGCTCAGGTGTGTGTCGCCACCTGCGTGTGCGCGCGCCCGGAGCCGGCGCTGGGAGTGCATGTCCGGCCGCGGCCGAGCGTGTGTATATCTGGGGGCATGTGGAGGAGGTGGAGCCCAGGACTCCATGAGGGAGGAGGGACCAGAGGAGCCTCCTCCCGCTCCCACACCCCCAGGACCTCGAATTAAACAGGATCCCTTTTACCTCTCCCTCCACCTCCCTCCTCCTTACTCCTCCTCCCACCGCTTTTCACTTGGGAGCAAGTGGAGAGTCGGGATGCGCCGCGGAGTCTGCGCGCTGTTTGGCGTGGGCAACCCCCGGAGTCATCCCTGCTACCCTGGCCAGCCGGAGCAGCCCTGGTCGAGGCTCTGGGATCCTCTGCCCAGAGGAAGGAGGAGCGCCCCAGGGAGAGTCTCGCGGATGCACCCTAGAAAATTTTGGAGACTTTTCCTAGCAAGAATGTGCTCATTTTCCTCGGATGTTCAGATGTTACTTGGAACAGAGGCTTCCCGCATTTTCTTGCGCCGGTGACGCACGCAGTCAGAGGTAGTAATGTGAAAAATAACCGAGGAGGGACTGAGCATGCTCTTGGCAACCTTTTAGGCGTCCTTGGATGACTGTTCAACTTTTTAAAAATTCTGGGTGTTTTGTTTTGTTTCTATTCCGGTCTTCAGAGCCATCTATATGCTGATCTCTTTAAGGTACAGTTAGCTTACAGTATCTCACTTAAATGCAGAGTGTGGGTGAAGGCGTTCAAAATAAAAGAAATATAGAATGTTTCTCTATAAAAGAAAAAAAGTGAAACATGCCAATCATGACATTCTGGAATATTTCTATGTTGTTAAACACACTTTTCTTAAGAGCAGTTTTTTTTTCTTTATAGTTGACATGATGCAAAAATCAAACAGCATGATTTTGTTTGCATATTTTTCTCACTTCTTGGTACACTGCAGCATACTTATAACATGATCAGTGTGGGAGTTTCATTCATAAGTTGTCCTGCCCGTCAGGGAGAACTTGCTTGCCTTCTTTCTTTGGCTGTTTGAATTTTACCTAGCCCTGTGGTGTGTGCCAGCCAGTAGGAAGTTCTGTAAGTGATTGATTCTTCAGGACTTCCCTGTGATATATGTTCAGCTCACAAACAAACTCAGACCCAGAGCATTGATTGAAGTTATGGACTTAAATAAAATTTAAGAGGTGGGCTTGTTTTATTGCTCATTCTAATAAATAGAACAGAGATTGTTGCTTTAATTTAGAAATGGAAACCAGCAGTGAAATGTGTAGGAGTCTGTATTTTTCTTAAGCTATCACATTTACCAATGTTTACTTTGTATCAGTAATGCCCTTGTATTGCTACAACAATTGGACTGATTTCTCTAGAACCATATTCCCTTACAGGCTCTCTAAAGACACTCTGTCATTCACAGACTCAGACTCGGTGGAGCAACATTAAAACACTAGCAGGTGTAATTACACTGACTAGAATAGTAAATATACTGTTTTGTGATGATAAACTACAAAATTATCCGCTCTGAGCTTTTAACCTACTAATTTGTATAGTAGTTTTGAGACAAAATATGATCCACTGTTATACAAAGACCATATGCATGGGGATGCAAGATATGAAACACTGTTAGTCACTAAACATTGTGAACACAGTTGAGTCTAATCATAAAAATTATCTTGACATATACAAAAGGATAAGGATTGAGAAAAGATATGTTATATTGGTTAGTTAAATTATAATGTACTCCTTTCAAGTGTAAGTTAAAAATATATTGCAGTGCACTAATACAATGGAAAGAAAGGTTTGTACATGTGATTGAAAGGTATGCTTATCTGTGCAATAGTGTATAAAAATAAAACACATATGCGTCCTTGGTAGTTTTGTAAATTGTGCAATATCGACGGTTTAGTGGTACTAAATAAACAAAATTTCAAAGTTCTTAAGTCCAAGAATGTTAACCTGTGCAAAACAAAGGTGCTTTTCATACCTAAAAAGAAAATGGCTGTTGGTCTGCTTGTTTGTCTGTTCACCAAATAAAATCGCACACATTTCAAAATAGAAGAGATTTGGTTTTTGATTTCAGTTTTTAGGGGACCAATATTCTTGGCCTAAACTCTTGCCAACCAAGGCAAGGTCCTCACAGTAAGCTGTGCATGAAAGGAAGGCAGCGGGCACTGCTGTTATTAACCAACCTCACGCCTCTTGCCTCAGTCTGGTTGAGCTTCCCACAAAGTAAGTTCCGTGCCTTATCTTTTTTATGTACCAGCATATATTTCCACAAATTTTATGTTTGAATAAACATAATATTATACTTTTGTTCTTATGCAGTTTTTACCTAAAGGTGAAAAATACCAAGATATGGGAAAGAGATTACCCTGTGTGAGTGAATAGTGAAAGAGAAATAAATTGAAAGAGAACTATAAGTTTGTTGGGCTTTTATTGGCAACTCTTGATTGTGAGCTCCCACAGAAAAGTGTACCTTGATCAGTAGAGTCTGCGTGGGTTCTGTATTTTCCTTGTAGCCACAGTGATACGCCTGTGCTCACAAATATATCCAATCAGAAACTGACAGACAGAGATACTCTCAGAAACAGTTTGTGAATCCGTGCAAATTCATTTTCTTCCCCTCAACCCCCAAATCCTCCCCAGTAAATGGTCTTTTTTTCAATTCTAAAACGTTCACTAGGAGGCAGCAATGAGGTTGTTGGGGAATAAAAAAATACCTTGGCCATACCAGTCTGACTGGCTTTCTCTTTCTTCCCCTCTTTTATAAAGGAGGGGAGAATATTTTGGTCCCAAAGGAAGACGGGAGCAGAGTGAAGGAAATCATTGTCCTCCACCCTCTCTGGCTCCACTTTCTCACTGGATTTTCCCCCAGATGGCTCACCATCATGTTTTTCTGGAACCATGGAGGTGGTATACCACACGGAAGGGACTGGGCAGCAAAGGTGATATCTTCAAAATGCGGAGGCCAAGGCATCACACCTGGAACACTGAGAGTCGGCAACTATAGTTAGATAACTTTGGGGCTGTGGTCGTAAGCAAATACAATGAAAGAATTCAGAAGCTTTCATACCTGAATGGAAAGGTAATACAGCCTGTTAGTCCTGTTAAGAAGGAAATGAGCAAACTGTGACAAAAGCCAACCTTAGGCTGTTGTCTCAGTTCTCGGAGTTCTACTCCAGCTCCCTAGTTCTACTCTCATCAGCCACATTCCTATCAGCCCCCAACCCCTGGTCCACATAAAGCCAGAGGGAGGGCAAGAGGAGTTGAATCAGACAGTCATGGCAGGAGAGAACAGCTGCACAAGTGGCCTTTTACTGCTGTATTTTCATCTTTATGAGATTTCTGTCCCTTTATTCTCACTGCTCTGGCCATACTTGGAAACTGAGAATATCCAGATCAATTATAGAGACAACTTTTCTCATTCCTTTTTTGCAGTGATGTCTTCACACAGGCTAACATTTTAAAATATATTTTATTGATTTTTTACAGAGAGGGATAGAGAGTTAGAAACATAGACGAGAGAGAAACATCGATCAGCTGCCTCCTGCACACCACCTACTGGTGTGTGGGATGTGCCCACAACCACGGTACATGCCCTTGACTGGAATCGAACCTGGGACCCTTCAGTCCGCAGGCCGATGCTCTATCCACTAAGCCAAACCGGTTAGGGCACAGGCTAACATTTTTAAAAGGAGCTTTACTTAGATGACAGAGGTAGAAAAACAAAGTAAAAAACTACTTCTCACTCCTCCCCCCCCCCCCCCCCCAAGACACCTAAGGGAAAAAAGACAATACAGATAATCCAAGACAGACAACTTCACAAAGTACCGATTTCAGATCCAAAGAACACCATAAAAGCAATGGAGAGATTTATTTCTCCCGGGATGACTGCTTTTTTAAGTGAAAGGAAGCTAGCCTTGAGCAAACACAGAAATGAATGAGGAGGGTCGGACAGTCATCATATCATGTGGCCTGTGTAATGAAAAACCCTCCAGTCCATAGTATTTAAATGAGACTGGGTTCTGGTGCAGTAGGGTTACTTGTACATTTCATCACCACATATGCTCTTTTTGCTTTTGAGCAAGAACAAATGTGAAAGAGGGAGTACCCCTGCAGTATTCCAGTAGGGTGGTAAATAGGTCATGCTTCCGGCTTTACCATGTCCCTCTGTCTGGCTGTCCTCCCTTCCAGCTTCCAGATTGCCCTGCCCTGTGTGCTCCTGCCACTCAGATTCAGCTTCTCTCTAAGGATGTGTTTGCTTTTGAACTCATTTGCTAAGCAGATTGTTTTAGAGCCAACATTTGAGTTCTTAAGATACCATATCTTTTACATACATTATCTTATTTAATTTTTAGGAAAACTCTATGAGGCAAGAGTTACCTTATTTGCAATCAGGGAAATGAGCCTTGGAGCAGATGAGTAAGGAACTTGCCCAAAGTCACAACCCAAAGTGGAAGAAGTGGGATCTGAACCAAGCTGATGTTCTTTACCGTCTCCATTCTGAGTCCCTGTGGAAGGCGCAACCCCTTCCTGGCTTAGATCCTCAATTCCACCTACTTCCTCAAGCCTTCTGTGACTCACTCCATGCCCCACCCCCTCTCTGAGGGAGTGCCCAATGGCAATCTCTCCAATAATGCGTTCCAAACCCACAACAACAACACCCCAATCACCAGAGATAGTCTCTCAAAGTCCTGTTTTAGCTGCTCCACAGCCAGACTGCCCCAGCTCCCCGGGTTGTCAGCATAGATTTGGCCTCAGCTGCAATCTACTATGCCTCATGCTGTGGGCCTCCCACTGCAAACACAGAACAATTGCCAGCCCTGAATGAACCCAGTTCCTACCCTTTCTCTGATAGCCAAGCGCTGCTAAAAGGAAATCTCATAACAATGATATCTAATCTCAGCCTTTGTGTTCCCTCAACCCTAGTTGTCCATCCCACCTCTCCTTCTCTTTCCTTCCCCCCTTCATCGATTTCTTTCTACCTTTCTTTTGTAAACTCCAGTGTACAATGCCTGATTCATGATGCACTCTCACAATTGCTCCACCAATGGTCTATTTATTTATTTAATAATACGACAAGTACCTATGAATCTACCACCCAAAATAAAACCTGCTGAAAAGTGGGAATAGAGGGATCATACCTCAACATAATAAAAGCCTTATATGACAAACTTATAGCCAACATCGTACTCAATGGGCAAAAACTAAACTCATTTCCCCTGAGAACAGGAACAAGACAGGGATGCCCACTTTCACCACTTCTGTTCGGCATAGTACTGGAAGTGCTAGTCATAGCGATCAGACAAGAAGAAGAAATAAAAGGCATCCAAATTGGAAAAGAAGAAGTAAAACTGACCTTATTTG